GGGACGCTTGCCCTGCAGGACAGAGCCCTGGATCAGGAGTCGGGAGACTGGGTCAGGGTCCCATCCTTCCTCACCCTGTGACCTCTGGCAAGTCCCTCTGTGACTCTCTGGGCCTCAGAGAACAGAACCGGACACTGGGGACACTAATGGCAGAACCCGCCTCCCCAGGGTTTAGAGCGAGTGGGCGCTGGATGGCTCGGGTGGCCTGGCTCGGGAACAGGCTCCCCGTGAGTGGCCGGGTTGCCCACCTGAGTCCCACCCCGGACTCTGCCCGTGTCCCACGGGTTCGTACCGGCCAGCTGCCCGTCTTTCTCCCACTGAGGAGTGAGCCCTACCGGGCAAGGACCGTGTCCTGTCCCACTGAGTCCCCAGGTCCCGGGCAGGTCTGTGCGCTGCAGAGCTGGGGAACCTGTGTCGGTGGCTGGACCAGGGGGCAGCAGGCCCGGCTGGGAAGTGGCCGGAGCCTTCCCTCCCGCGTGCTGGCCTCTTCCTTGCTGGTCCCCCCACTGCCCGCCACATACCTCCTGACCTGACCTTCCTCTCCCTACAGTTGCCCCCAAAGGACCCAAAATCGTGATGACACCTAGCCGAGCCAGGGTCGGGGACACGGTGAGGATTCTGGTCCACGGATTCCAGGTCAGCCTCTTTCTGAGCCCAAGGGGGGACAGGTGGGAGGACACTCCCAGGGCCCCAGCCTTCCTGGTGACCCTTTCCTGTGCCCTTCCTTGCCCGAGGGCCACCGCCAGCTGGCCACAGTGTCCCAGTGTGGTCAGTGGCAGAATTAGCTACCACGAGGGGAGACGCTCTGTCCTCCTGGGTTGGGGGCAGGAGTGGACGGTGGGCGGCCCTGGCCAGGCCTGCCTCGGACCCTGATGGCCCTGACACGGTGGCTCCTCCCGTGACCCCGCTGTCCCCTGCTCCGGCCAACAGAACGAAGTCTTCCCGGAGCCCATGTTCACGTGGACGCGAGTGGGGAGCCGCCTCCTGGACGGCAGCACCGAGTTCGCGGGGAAGGAGCTGGTGCTGGAGCGGGTCCCGGCCGAGCTCAACGGCTCCATGTACCGCTGCACGGCCCAGAACCCGCTGGGCGCCACCGACACCCACACGCGGCTCATCGTATTCGGTACGCGGCCTCAGCCGGGGACCCCGGGGCTGCCCCAGGGGTCGGCCCACGTCCTCTGAATTTGCCCTGAGAAGGTGCCCACCCCCGAGAGGCAGTGTGTCCCAGTGGTCAGAGCCCCTGGCTTAGCCCCAGCTCTGCCACTGGACCGGGGCCGCCTGCCCACCTCCCCCGGCGCCTCATCTGCACAATGGGCTGATGTCACAGGGCCACAGAGAGGGCGGGAGGCTGCCCGTCACTCCACGCGGGAGCTGCACAAGGCTCTCCCTCGGAGCTCCGGGAGCCATCCCCTCTCTGGTCTCTTTCTCTTTCTCTCCAACAGAAAACCCAAATATTCCCAGAGGAACGGAGGACTCCAACGGTAAGGCCCTGCTAGGGCTCCCGCTTAATCACGAGGACTCTCGAGGTCCCAGGAAGCTCTGGTCCCCGTGATGGTCCTCGAGCTGGGCAGAGGGTCAGATGTGGTCAGAGCGGGGCACCGAGGCAGTAAAGGGGGCCCTGGGATCCCCAGGTAGCCGGCTAGGCTTTGGGGAGCCCAGTGTGTCCCCTGTCATGATCCGTGGTCTCTAGAGCTCTCTGAGCCCAGGGCACTCAGCACCCCGACCCAAGGGCATGTGTCCAGCGGTGGCCATGAGGCTGTGTTCGGGGGCCCTAGTGTCTCCACAGGACACCTCCTCCCTCGGCTGCACCCCCCAACTTGAAAAGCACCCCAAGGGACCCAGACACGTGCTCCCGGGCCAACCTCACGGTTCACAGTGGACGCCCCACCCCCAGCCCCTCTGCGGTCCGAGAGCTGCCCAGAAGCCTGACCAGCCCCGCAGGCCTGGGTGGGGACGGGCCCAGGCGGAGGGGGGTGGCCGGCAGAGCTGACCTGGACCCCGTTCACCCTGATCCCAATCCAGCGTCTTGGCAGGGGACCTCTGAGCTCGGGGTCCCTGGGCGGCTCCCTGCTGTGCCCCCCACGGACCCCCCCAGGTCTGCAGACTCTGACCTGCCGCCCGCCTCCCGCAGGTTCTGCTTCTGGCCCTGCTGGTGTCCGGCTCGCCTTGGTGCTCGCCCTGACAGTGGCCCTGGAGCTGACGTGAGGGCGCGGCCGCCCCGAGGCCACCCGGCACTGACACCCCGCCAGCCATCGTTTTCATTCCTTTTCTAAACTATTTCCAGTCTTGCTCCTGGTCTCTCTCTGTCTGTGTCTTGGCTTCTTCAATCGGTTTAATTAAAACAGACACTTTCCCCACCTTGGTGCGTGGCACTGCCTCCTTCCTCTGCTCGGCAGCAGCAACGGGCACCTGCTGTCACCCTGAACGGGGACAGGCACAAAGGATATGGACCTCCTTGATGGAGGGTGGACATGTGGCCATTCTCTCACCCAGATCCTTACAGCCAGGTGTGGGGAGTGGCCAGAGACGCTCAGAAACCCCAAGATCCCTCAAGTCTCAGTGTAACAGTCAGCTATGGCTCAAATAATGCTGCGTAACAAGCCAATCCAAATCTCAGTGGCGCACAGCAAGTGTTCATGATCACGTGCCGTTGGAGTGGCTCAGCTGACTGGGCTGGGCCCAGCTGGGCAGCTCTGCTTCAGACAGCAGGCCACCTGGTGGCCTCCAGTCCAGGTGGGCTTGGGTCTCCCCCACACATTTCTTTGTTCCACGGGCGTTTGTTCTGGAGCCCAGGCGTTGTCAGCTCCCCATGACTCTAACAAAATATCCGAGATCATTGATTTATGAAGAGAAAAGGTTTTTGGGTTCATGGTTCTGAAGATTCCAATCCAGGCCTTCGCAGTAGGAGCACGTGGCAGAGCAGAACCTGAAGAAGGTCAATTAGAGGAACAGGAAAGGGCCAGGGCCCCACATCCCCTCCAGGGCCCGCCCTGACCTGAGGACCTCCCAGGTCCTTACTAAATGTCCCACTCCCTCCCAGGCCACCCTGGGGACCAAGCCTTTAACACCTGGACCTTGGGAATGTCCACCGCCTGAGCTCTAGAAGCACAAGCCAGCAAGCGCGTCCTAGGCCTTGGCTGTGGTGACCGAGAACACTGCTTCGCCAGAGCACAGCCCAGGGCCACGGCCACCCCCGGTCACCCCAGGGGTAGTTTCCCAGAGCCCTCTGCTCAACCACGAGAGTCCCCAGGTCGTTCGCCTCTCGGCTCAGGAGGCAGGGCTCCTGGGGAGGGGTTGACCTCTCCCAGCGGGACCCAAGGCTTCGGAGCAACAGGGAGACCGTGGGAAGCTGCCTCCATGGGGACAGGCCACGCTGCAGGGACACGCTGTGCCCGAGTCCCACTGGCTTACCACGCGGAGAACAGCTTGGGCTCACAGAAAGCCAGTAGCCCCTCCACCTCAGGTAGATTCTGGAACACGAGGCCCCTAGGCTGACCAGGCAGGGCAGGGGGCTGAGGATCACTGTGGCAGACAGACTGATGAGGTCCCAAAGATGTCCCTGTCCCAATCCCCAGAGCCTGAGACGACGTCACCTTCCATGGCAAAGGGGCTGTGCTGATAAGATCAAGTGAAGAATTTTAAGGTGCAAATAGAATCCTAGATCACCCAGGGCCCCGTGAGATTAAAGGTCCTCACGAGAAGGAGGCAGAGGGAGGGGATGACATCAGAGAGGGGCCACCAAGCCCACACTGCCGTTGGAGTCTCACAACCGGGAAGGGCAGGGGGACCGATTGTCACTAGCACCTCCAGAAGCAACCAGCCCTGCCAACCCCGTATCCCCTAAGGTAACATCAGGCTTCCGACTCCAGAATGCCAAGGTAATAATTTTGGGTCCTTCCCAACCTGTTGTTACAGCAGCAGTTAAGGAACTCATACGCTCAGACGGGATGTGATGGAGGGCCTGGCGCGCAGACATCTCTGCCTAAAGCCCATTGGTCAGGAGTAGTCTCATGGCCCCAACCAGCTGCAAGGGATGCTGGGAAGTGTGGTCTTTGAGAGTGCCCTGGGAGGGGGAACCGCAGCGAAGCCAGAGCATCACGGAGCTGTGGGGGCCGAGGCTTCTCCTCCCGAGTCAGGGGGCCATGACCTCCCTGAACCGCGGGTGTTTCTCCAGACCTTGCAGTCGTCCTGGGGATGGGGGCCGTCCCTACCTCTTCCTGTCACCCAGCCCCTTGGGCCCTGCTCAAGTCCGGACCCGGGTGCCCGGTGCCAGTACCTCCTCGCTGACTGCAGAACTCGGGCTCCCTGACCCCCGGATCCCAGCATCCATCCACGGTGACCCCCTTCCCGCTGGAGAGTCCCAGAGCATGTCCAGCTCCAGCTGGTCACAGCCCAGCCCTGGGTGTCCCCAAACTTGCACCTCCCGGCCTCCCTCCCTGGGCACAGCGTGGATCCCGAACGCCTCACTGTCAGCCTCTGTTCCTCGTCCCTCCCCGTCCACCCCACCCTCAAAGCCCTCTCCTTCCCCCTGTCCCCCCCACGGCCACCTCCTGCCCACGCTCCTGCTCCCCCGGGTCTTCAGGTCTCCCCAGGCCACCGCGCAGGCTCCCACCCGCCGGGGTCCTCTGGAGCAGGAGTCCCAGGGCTGGGGACGCGGCGCTGTGGCCGGTGCCTAGCTGGCAGCAGGAGCCCTGCTCCATCCCGGGCCTGGCAAAGCCCTGCCCAGAACCCTCCAGGGGCCCTCACTGGGGAATCAGCCTGTACCACCCACACAGGGTGCCCTGGCGTGCCCCTGGAGCCCAGCCACTCGGGAGGCCGAGGCAGGAGGAGCGCCTGAGATCAGCCCGGCAGGATGGCGAGACTGTCCAAAACACAGTGCTACAGGCCACGGCCTGCCTGTCCCCTGACTTTGTCCTTTCGTCACACCACCTTTCCCTGGCTCCGTTCTGCTCCTCTCTCCGCTCCTCCAACTCTCATGCCCGGTCCTGCCGCAGGGCCTTTGCTCCACCTGTTCCCTCGGCCTAGGATCCGCCTCCCCTTGTGGGGCTGACCCCCCTTGGCGTCCGGAAGGCAGCTGGCCAACTCCCCTGGAGGGACCCGACCATGTGCCCCGCCCCCGTGCCCCGCCCCCAAGCCACCTTGGGCCGTGAGCTTCCTGTCACTGCTGGTGGACACCTGAGGAGAGCCTTTGGCCTCCTGGGCTCAGTCCTCCCTGTGGGCCTGGGGGAGGCAGAGGGACCTCGTGGGGGAGGCAGAGGGACCTCGTGGGGGAGGGAAGCAGAGGCAGAGGAAGGAGCTGGGGGGAATCGCCCTCCAGGAGTTCCTCCACAATCCCTCTCCTCAGTCCACTGAGATTACTGACCGTCCAGTGGGTTCACCCCTGAGGAGCTCAGAGCCTCCCGGGCCCCAGGGCATGGAGGTGGGAGCTGCTGGTTCTGCAGGTGGGAGGGGGGCAGCGGAGAAGAGGCCCCGGAGCCCAGCTCTGAAGGAGAGACAGGTGTCGGCAGGTGAGGGACGGGGAGGGCAGCGCCAAGTCTTCCAAGGCACGATCCCTTCACTCAGCAAACACGCATTAGCTGCTCCGGGCACTGGTGCCGCCACGTCACGTGGCTCGTGTATCAGTCAGCAGGCACCACAACAGTGCTGTGTAACAAGCATCTCAACCTGCAGGAGCTTCCAGCCCGGGCAGCTGCTGACCCGAGTCACCTTTGGCTGATGAGGGCTGGACTTGCTCTTGGGTCCCCAGAGCTGGCAGGTCAGCTGGGGACAGGTTGGCCCAGAGTGAGTGGCTTTGGCTGGGAGGACCTGCAAAGCCACGTGGCAGAAGGTGAGGAATCTAGGAAGGCAACTCAGCGTTACTCACAACCCCCGGCAGCCCTCATCCTGACCTTGGATGAACCAAGACCAGAATCTTGGTTCCCACACATGGTGCCTCGTACCCTCAGGGAAGCCCAGCTGTCTCCTACGGCAATTTCCCTTGTCCATATGTAAGAACTGAGTGATCCACCATGCAGTAACTATGGGCACGCCCACATTGACCAGCTGACCGCCATGCTGAAGTTGACGACTGTCAATTGCTGAGGACTCTCAGGCACTCATCGGTGTATAAATATTCAGGCTAGATCAGCAGGCAACAACCACACAGTATCACAGCCTCTTCAACCTACTTCCTTCTCCCAGACCCTGCCTGGTCTCACGGGAACCAGCTGTCCCCTCTGCCGCCCGTCCATAATTCTACCTAAGCCTCTGTTGCACAACGCTTTTGCCTGTTTTCTGGAAGAGATTTTAAGACAGTTTTGTTCCCTCTCTTTCCCTGGATAGAGGCGTGAAGTGGGAGTCGCTTTGCCCTGTTAACAGTGGGGTCTGGGCTCCGCTGCCCGCCCCTCCCCGGCCGGCGGGCGAGTGACTCAGCAGCAAGAGGATGAGGCCGTGGAGAGGCAGGGACGGGCCTGGAGAAGGCCAGCTGGGTTCTCGGGCCGCAGGGTGGGGGTGCGATGGGAGGGGCTCTGGAGAGAAGCGTCCAGTCCAGCTGGGCTCCCGGAGAGGGAGGGGGAGAGGGAGGCGGAGAAGTGAGGGTGGTTAGAAGTGGGCGTGGGTGGCACAGGGGAGAGGGACAGGGCAGGGGGAGACGGGGACCACAGAGACAGAGATGGGGACGCGGAGCAAGTCTCAACTCAGAGACAAGGAAAATGAGACCAGAGAGACAGAAGGAGAGGGGGAGACGCGCCCGCAGCCAGCTGCAGACAGCCAGAGGGGGTTCCCAAAGAGCACTTCAGCCTTCGCCTCCTCCAGCACCAGCTCCGGAGATGGCGGGAGGAAACGGACGCGCAGATGACATGCATTTGCCCCCCCCCAGGGGCCCAATCACAGGTGACAGGTGTAAATGTCAGCACACACAGGCTGCCACTGCACCTGCCCTTGGGGCTGAGCTTCCAGAAGCCTCCACCTGCCTCTGTCCCCCCCCTACTCCCACTCTTAACTGGAGGCTCACTGGGGCTGAGCTCTGAGTCTTGCGGTCCCCACCCCTGGCTCCCATGTCCCCTCCTCTCTCCTTCCTGGACTTCCCAGAGCCACAGACAACGTGCATGTGGAGAAGCCCTCTCAGCCGCCCACTCCTGCCAGCGCCCTGGTGCCACCTCCCCCAGGGTCCTCTCCTCACCTCAGGGAAGGTCCTTTGGGGACCCAGAGGAGGGTCGGGGTCTCTCCAGGGAGAGCCAGGCTCTGCCTTCAGCACCCAGCGCGTCTGAAGCCACCTTGCCACTCGCCTGGCTGCCACAGCTGTCCCTGTGACTCCCACTCTTCACGTCTCTGGCCTCTGTCTCCCCCTGTGCAATGGGGAGGCCGTGTTCTCGATGCT